CAGTAACACTGAGCTCCTGAGGTTGACGACGAGGAAAATGTCCAAACTACCTCAATCGTCTTTCTGCAATGGCCTGGGACATTTTTTGATTTTGCGGACTGCCTCATTTGAGACGAAGTCGGTGTGTTTCACTCGAAGGAAACAAACCACATCCCAGCTCCGTCCCCTTGAAGGGCGCCAGTAACTGGCAATTTGTTTTCAACCCGGTAAACAGCAACTGAAGAACAGACCAATTTTCGCAATTGGACAACCAAACATGATATTGTATCCTCCCAAATGCTCATTCTGATCAACTAGTCGCGCTATCTGCTAGGTCTAGCAGGTACAGACACGAAAAAAATTGCTCCCTGACATGCACGGTAAGTTCCGTTTTCTAACAATCATCAGCACATGGCAGTACAAACTGTGCGCGTGCGCAACTAGATTAGACCTTCAGCACTGTTCACGAACCATCGGCTAGGCGGATCTGTTTTGGCCAACTAGCCAGCTAAAGTTAACTTGAAGCAGCGAATCAGCGGTGCTGGTTCGGATCATTAATCGGGATCGAACGCGAGTCGAGGCATTCCAAAGCAGTTTCATATAAAGTTGTGCTAGAGGGCCACAATGGCTAATCTGGACACGCCCTGGCGGAAAACATTAACAGTTCGACAACAATGAGGAGATTCGACAGAATTAGCGGGACACAATTCTTTTTCCGAATAAGAGTCTGGGAGGTTTATCAGCCCACGACAAATGCTTGAGACGCATTCTAGCACCCCGAAGCAGTAGGAAAAAAAAATAAAGGACGGGAGGCGAAACAGTTTTCTGATATTGTATTGAAGAAGTAAAATAAAACGACGATGGGGGAGGGAAGAGAGAGTATGTGCATAAGAGGTTAAGAGGCAACTCTAATGGGAGTGCTTCTTCTTATGCTTGTGTGAAGAGCTGCTGTTGCTGCTACCGTTGGACATTTTGGACAACTTGCTGAGAAGTTTCTCACGCTGCCTCTCGGTTAAAGACTTGAGGAATTTAACGGTGAGGTCATGTTCGGCAGCTGTGGGATCAAAATCCTTGCTTGCATTACATGCCTGTGTAGCCTTGTACACAATATCGTTAAGGCCCGTGGCTTCTGTGGACTTCTTGAAGGCTAAACCTTCCCTGCGAAGATTTTTTCTGGCAAAGTCCAGCCCATGAGAACAACTGGCATTGGGCTCCTGTGTAAAGGATTGACCATAAAGGGGACAAATTCGATCTGTATTCAAGTGGCCCCATTGCTTGCAACGCATACACCGCACGTTTCTGACCTCAATGCCAAAAGGCTGGTCAGTGACGTCTACGGAATCCTTGCAGTAGCTTTCACGTGGCGCGTTGTACTTCCGCTGCCATTCGAACTTGACTTCAGACTTCTCTGGTTCCTTTTCCTAAAGGGGGATAAATTAGACTCACAACGGAAAGTAACATACTGGTTCCATTACAGCCGGTTGGTCATACATCCAGGCCAGTCCCAACCGTGCCTTCTCGTCACCGAGGAGGACTCGATTTTCCAAAACTTCCTGTTCTCTGCGATACTGCGTTAATTTTTCCTGTTCACGCTTGCTATCGAACTCATCCTTTTGTTCAGCCATCCACTTACGTTTGATGTTATCGAAGTTTGTAGGATGGAAAAACTTCTTGCACATGTAATTATTATACCCCTTCCCCATTTTGACTGGCAATAAGTAACCTGAAAGACAAACAGAGGTCGGTAAGAACAGTCCTATAAACTTGAATAATAAATCAGACATATCCGATTAGCGTAGCAGAATAAGAAAGGGTTTGTGAGAGGATTGTTAAGGTTTCTAGAGCTTCCTAAGTTGTCACCGACTGGAAAATTGATAGGCTATAGTCAATGAAGAGCTTCGGGTACATTAAACAAACCGACTGCGAAAGACGGCTTGCAGAAACAAATGTCTAACCAACAATGTAATAAGGAAAACAAAAGGATTGGCTGAGGATGATAAGTATGGAAGACAGAAGGCTGGTGAAGATAGCAACTAAGAGACAGCAGTTCACCGTAGTCTGATAGTATGACGGAGGTTTGAAGTCATGGATATTCCCTAGATCCCGACGTAACAGAGATTTGCATCCGTACGACAATGATCGGCGGTTCAATCACAAGCATCCGTAAATGCCCGAGTACCCCGTTTCCTTATTAAGCCGGCCAGTTTTTTTAGGGATAACCGTCACACGTTCAGAAGGCAACATAGGCGAACGAGGCCGTGGGCATCACCAAAGTGGCCGATAAAAATGCAAGCTGTAAGCGTAGACAGACTCCGGCACTACTTTTTGGTTATGTTAACATTGCCATGTAATCTCCAAGATTATATGGTCAGAACTTAATTGATTTTACACTTATTGTGATACTTCAAGTGTTCGGCAAAACTGACACAAGTGTAGAAAAATCCATTATAGTTTTTCGGATTGGCACGTAAAATAGCACTTTCATTTTATCAACTGAGGTCAGAATAATGTCAGACATAACTATAGCTGGCCATGTTGTAGAACAATCTCACAATGGTGATCAGAGCTGATGGCAAAAATATGATAGTGCAACCTAAACTAAATACCTATATTTTGTCTACCGAAATTTTGCCCTGCCCCTGTATATTCAAACCGTGTCCTTGAAGAGGTTTTTAGATGACAATTTTTGATTGTGATGCGCCAAAATTAACTAAACTGCAGTCGTCTCAGATAAAGGGCTACCATGCTTTTTCTAGGAAACTTAGCTTCTGCTTAACAGACTGTCCAAGATAACCGACAGAGGCGAACAGGCAAGTTCCAGGAAGCATTACAGAAGGAGGAGAGATAGCCGAAACGGGAAGTCAAATGGCCTGACGTTTCAAATTCTCATTCGAGCCCATCATCAGACAGTAGCAGAAGAGGATAATAGGGAAACAAAGAGCGCAGTATTGTGTAGTACGCAATTGCCAAGCGATAACAGGTCAGGCCAGTAAACTCCCTATTCCAACGATCGCATCATCTGCTTTCGTCCAAGATTAGTTGACTTATGTCTGAATTACAACTTAACGAACGTTTCGGACTTCTTCGTTTAGGCTAAAACGATAGATGTTGGTCAGCGCGATTGAAAACCAACTTGCAGTCCTAAAGAGTAAGTAGACGACTTTTTGCAATGATCTGCTGATTACTGGAACTCGACCATATGACTGTTCAAACGATCAATTCAATTGCCGCTAAATGTACTCTCAATAAGACAATACTATGAGAATACTGGACTTTTCTGACGTGAAGCTAATGTATACCACCAACAGGCGTTTTCAGCCCCGCCAAAACATTAGCTGATCTGATATTCAAATGATGGCCGCAAAATTAACAAAATGGTATACATACTAGTCAGTTCAAGGTTCCGTAGATGAGTTAGTGGGAATAAATAGATGCGTGACGCCGAAAGCAGCAATGCCTGAGTCAGATCATGTTTTGGTCGGCAACCGCCTGAAAGTTAACCGTTGATCCGAACACAAACTGTCATGTGCAGGACGCCCTGATTTCACAAAACTATAACAATCAGTACATAGTTGAGGTCGTGGGCACAGGAATTCAGTCTCGCTTTATGGGCCGAGCCGAAGGTAACTGGTCATTATCGAAGTCATCAGTCTACCTCAGGGTGAGATAGTGACCGCGTCGGCTGGGGAATCTAACAGTTGTCAGTTCAAACGGTCCTACTTTGTTTTTGAAAGGATTGCGTTCTTGTTAGATTCAAGCAATGGGTTGAAATCAAGATATCCATGAAGCAAGTCTCAAGCGTTTTTGACAAAGCAGAACTCAACCGAATTATCCGCCAGGTTAGTGGTAAGCCCGCTATACTCAATGACACTGTCCGAGAAAATAAACGAGGGTTTTACTGCAATCAAGTCACTAAAAATCTAGCACCGCCGTACACAGTGCGAGCATCTATATCTATTCTCGAAAGGAACACATGCTATCTGGAAGATGTGGATTTTGCAACCGGGGCTGGCTGGCTGATCTCCACCACGCTGAGGATATACGTCTGACAGTATTTAGCTTTGACGTTGCGAATGAATGAATAATTTTTTAGTCGGTGCACACATAAGGGCTGAGAAACAAGTGTTTTCGAACCGCACACACGATATAAATTGAAACATAGTCCGAAACGCCTCGAATTAAGGCTGCTGTCCAGTAGAGAGTAAGGTCAACATAATCTACTGAATATTTACGGGGATTTCACAACCCATAGAAAACGCCTGTGGACAAGACGATATCGTCATTGATACAAAAATCCAAGTATACTGGAAATCCCTCTCGCACATAAGGGTGCAGTTCGTGACATCACTGAGGCCGGCTAATTATGATGGCAAGGCTATCGAGTAAATATAGGGATGAAGTTGAGACGCGGAATGTCTTGAGTAAACAAAAAAGTATTCTGCACACAGGATTCGTTGCTGTTATGTAAATAAACGAGTCTACCAAAAGACAGAACACTACAGGAGAAGAAAAACGCGTCAGTAGCTACTTACTGTGGAAAAACTGGCTGAAAAATTCCCTTGGGAGGCGAGCCTGCTAACGCACAGAACTCACAGAAAATTCGAATAACCCTCCACCTTCACACCTCCAAGTGATTACTTAAACACATATTCCCGAAAGCGCACTAGGAATGAAGGCAAGTATCTTAATGGTTAACACCCTAGTCTATCCTTAAAACTCGTGCTCCTCATAACCGTAATTATTTAAATGTGGCAACACATTGTCTGACCTTTGGCTAAACTCCACGTAGAACATCAACAGCACATCCGTGTAGCATCCCTTTTTTCGTACTTGGTCTGATAGATTTTGTTCAATTACGCCATCTGGAAGTTGCTTGCAGAGATCTTATCCATGTCCCTTTGTCTCTTTTCTGAAGAAAGCCTGCAACACAATTTTTTTATTTATGTTAGGCTTCTGTTCGCCTCGATCGGCACCGGTAGGTTGTAGCATTTAATCCCACTACAAGGACCGAGGCTTGTATAAAGGAACTGCTCAGGTAAATTGCAGCTAACGGGCCACTCCGCTATTTAGCCCAAGAAGGAGCTAGTTACCAAGAGGTTTCTGCTGTTCAGAATTTCAACGCACATGTAATACAATGATGTAATTTTGCAATACATTATATGCTTGGTTCCCGTAACCATAAGTTGATGGAACTCACGCTTTACCTCCCTGTGGCACATGATGTCTGGAAATCGTTATTATGACCGACTTCTCTGACACTTATGAAGTGGCTTCCAGTGCGCTTCTTGGAATAGCGACCACGCCACGATCCTCTAGGTTTACTTGCTCCATTCTCAGAACAGCATAGACAGAGGACGAACGAAGCATGCGGAAGGGAGACTTCAAAAAGTTGAGGAATGAGTTGATCCCTGTGAACTGAGCGGTTTGCGCAAGGGAAATGTATTTGTCTATATACAGTTTTGAAGATTGCGGCTGGGCCCCTCGCAGCTGTGTCATGTAGCCACAGAATATCGGCGAGGCACTTGTCTGGGTTTTAAGCTAGTACGCGTGCTGTCATGGATGGTGTAGCAGGTAGACAGAGATTTTGTTCAACTATCTTTTGTTTCTCGGTCAAACCCCATACAAGATGTCTATTTGGTCCATTTTTAGGCGCTGCATACCATTTTTCAGACAACTTGAACTATTGCACGTAGACAACCACATTAGGTCACGGCTTAGACTCCTACAGTAATACACATTCAACGTATCTACTGCACATTCACATCGCTCATCCGCCCGTGCGCAGTGCTATGATGGTTTTACGAAGACAGGGAGCGAGTTCAGGCGCATCTGACACGCACACTACTAAAGCCGAACGGACCCCGTTCTGACAGGGATCAGGCGCCGGTGGCTCATGCGGCGTGTGCCTGCACCTGCGCGTGCCATCATCCTCCTGGGTGTGGCATTGGCTATGGGAAAGCAATCGGAATAACGCCTTTTGCGCCCTGATCTAGCTCCCATTTTGGTCTAACACAAATACCAGGTGGCCCGCTTAGGGGAGCACAAGCGCATATGTGTTAAATGGAAAGCAGTAAATGGAAAGCAGTCTGCGAGCGTCGTGGTGATTGTCAGGAGGGGTGTGCACCGAGAGTGAGACGCGAATAAACTATTTACTCAAAAATCACTTATATATTAAAAGCTGTTCTATAACAGTGAGAAAACGTTGACACGAGGCATAAGGGCAACAACGATGGGTTGGCTTTATGGTGCGTACAGCTATCTTGATCCAGCTTCCTTTTAACAGCTTCTTCAGCTTTGGATATAGCAACATCCTCAGGCAGAACATGCAAAATATAAATCAACTGTGGTTGGAGAACTTCCGTGCGTCCAACCTGGAACCAGTTGCACGCAGTTTTACAGGTTAAGATCGCAAGTGATTTGCATTTGCTGACTCAAAGTACAAGACAGCAGTCCTGACCGAGCCGAATTTAGAAGGTCTGTAACCGCACAGTTGCCTATAACTCATAGGAAAGACATCGAGATTAGATAATCACATTTCGGAGGGTAGTGTGTTCTGTCCAGTTTGGTTCCAAGCCATTAAAGTCTCTCAAACATTTTGAGGTCTTAAATGGTCCCGTATTTCCATGCTTGGATAGAAAAGTCAAAATGGGACCGCAGATGGGTTAAACAATCTTAGCGAATATGTCTTCATCGGCGGAAGAGA